ATTAAAATCCGGTTAAGTATACTTTTTAAAAAGTATATTATTTCCATAATAAGTAGCCTAATCTTTTGCTAAAGTGTACTTGTGTTTCACAAGGGACCATATGGTTTCAATCCCTTTCTATCTTTCATGAAATAAAAAAAGACATGTTTTACAGAATGTCTAAGCTGCTCTTTTCCATAAAACGGCTACTTTTGTGATGCTTTTTTGTCTCTTTTGGTGTTTTACAGTCTTTGGGAGCTTGGACATTCTGCCGAACATCTCTTTTCAAGTTTCACAAAACATAGAAAACCATATGGGGTTCCTTGAATTTGATCTTGAAAATCAAAGAAAACGCTCAGACAGTGCCACGTGTTGGTGCATTCATGGCCATCCATTATATGTGTATACATATAGATAGCACATGTCCTTTTGTAGAAGGAATTTTCATCAGGAATCGTGGGAAGGCTCCTTTGTTTTTTGTTACTGCAGACCACGTAACCTCAGAGATCCAAACAATAGCAGGAAATTCTGATGGGCGGAGGCAGCGAGGTTCCTCCGCCGGCAGCTTCCTCATTGGCTGCCAGCATTCAGAATGAGTGAGAAAGGAGTCCGCTGGGAAAAGTGGAATATGCATGGGTTAATTGACACTGAAGGGATATGTCTCATTCATTTCCAGAATGTGTGCACACGACTGCATTCCATGCAGTGATTTCATTCAATGGGCAGCACATCTGTACGCCTGGGAAAAAAAAAACTTCAAGTTCAAAGCTGTGATACAGTAAACAGGAGATTTGGTTTTATGGTTCTCATTTTTCATCAAGGAGTAAAGAGCATTGACGTGCCTGATTTTGTTTCTTCCATGGAATGCAAAATTATATTTTTAGCAGAATGTCTACACTGATTTTTTTTGCATAGAGAAAAAATTGGTTCCAAAAGTATCCTAAAAGTAGTGCTGCACTATATTAGAAGTATTCTGAAGCCATATAATAGCTTTGTGTTTGGGACAGAACAAAATATCTGTTATGTGTAAATACATTACTGTTCAAATGTTTGGGGTCAGTTAGATTTAAATACTATGTTTTGTTCAGCATAAATGTTTTAAATTGTACAGTAAATAATTTACAAAAAAAAGTATTTCAAATAAATGCTTTTACTTTCTTACTGCTGATATTTTTAATTTTAAACTGTTTTCAACATTGATAATAATCAGAAATGTTTCTTGAGCAGCAAATCAGCATATTAGAGTGATTTCTGAAGGATCATGTGAGATTTAAAAAAATATTCATGTAGAAAACCATTATATTATCTGTTATGTGTAAATACATTACTGTTCAAATGTTTGGGGTCAGTTAGATTTAAATACTATGTTTTGTTCAGCATAAATGTTTTAAATTGTACAGTAAATACATTTACAAAAAAAAGTATTTCAAATAAATGCTTTTACTTTCTTACTGCTGATATTTTGAATTTTCAACTGTTTTCAACATTGATAATAATCAGAAATGTTTCTTGAGCAGCAAATCAGCATATTAGAGTGATTTCTGAAGGATCATGTGAGATTTAAAAAAATATTCATGTAGAAAACCATTATATTAAATTGTAATAATATTTCCGAATATTATTATTTTTTTATATTGCATTATAAAAATCATTTTAAAAATCTTACAAACCCCAGACTTTTGAATGGTTGTGTACTTGGTATCTCTTGATCTCTAGGTGCACTTCTCTATGTGAAACAGTCTCTGCATTTCTGAGGAATTTATTTAGCATTTTATAAATTCATTAATTGTATGTACTCTATCCAAATAAATCAATAAATTGTGTGTTTGTAGATTGGAATCAGAAATCTGTCTTTTGGAGACTGAAGAATCACAGATCTCAGCTAAAGAGCAAGTTCTCAGAGAGCGACTGCGGGAAACAGAGAGATCTATTGAAGATCTACAGAAGGTATGTGATCCTCATAACAGAAGAACACACGATACAGTGGCCTCAGACTGTGTATGGACAGCCACAGTTAAAAATGTCTGAATATCATTGCATTAGACAAAATATCAAAGCAAGTGGCATTTATTATAATAGAATAGTACATGCTTTAACTGATGAAATACAACTGTTAGTAATGGTGTGTTCAAGTCTTCCTGAGGCGTTTCATATTTATGAGTTGGAAAGTCGTATTTACAATGTCAGGTGTATTCAAATCCCTTCTTTCAATCAAGACGCTGATGTACCTTCTCTTTATTTACTTAATAAAAATACATAAAGGTTTTAAACTAAGAATGTCAAGTGTGCTTCTTATGTTTATTTTGTGCATGCAACCTATCTAGTTTTATTGTAAATGAAATAAAACATACATTTAAAAAAAAAATTACCATCAACTACACACTACTTCCATTGCATCCACCAAGACTCGAGTTTCCCACTCGCAATTATGACTTTGTAAATACAATCTTTAATGCATCTTCATACATCCCCGGAAAATCACCTTGACACCAGTTATTACCAAAAAGTCCAAATTACTTCTCATTTGTTCACAGTAGCCACTTCTAGAGTTTGATATTTTGTTATCTAACATTATGGCATGCAGACATTTTTAACTGTGACTTAAATGTGAAGTGTGTAATTTTTTTTCATTCAGTAGCAGATTGGGAGTCATTCTGGAAACCTGTCTGAAAACAGTCAAAAAAAAATGTTAAGTGCTTTGGTAAAAAATAGTTGTGCAGAAATTACACACTTCAGCTTTAAATGTCTTAATAATATAACTCTAATGCAGCAATGTATTTGTTACATGAAAAGTTTTTTGTTACTGCAGACCACGTAACCTCAGAGATCCAAACAATAGCAGGAAATTCTGATGGGCGGAGGCAGCGAGGTTCCTCCGCCGGCAGCTTCCTCATTGGCTGCCAGCATTCAGAATGAGTGAGAAAGGAGTCCGCTGGGAAAAGTGGAATATGCATGGGTTAATTGACACTGAAGGGATATGTCTCATTCATTTCCAGAATGTGTGCACACGACTGCATTCCATGCAGTGATTTCATTCAATGGGCAGCACATCTGTACGCCTGGGAAAAAAAAAACTTCAAGTTCAAAGCTGTGATACAGTAAACAGGAGATTTGGTTTTATGGTTCTCATTTTTCATCAAGGAGTAAAGAGCATTGACGTGCCTGATTTTGTTTCTTCCATGGAATGCAAAATTATATTTTTAGCAGAATGTCTACACTGATTTTTTTTGCATAGAGAAAAAATTGGTTCCAAAAGTATCCTAAAAGTAGTGCTGCACTATATTAGAAGTATTCTGAAGCCATATAATAGCTTTGTGTTTGGGACAGAACAAAATATCTGTTATGTGTAAATACATTACTGTTCAAATGTTTGGGGTCAGTTAGATTTAAATACTATGTTTTGTTCAGCATAAATGTTTTAAATTGTACAGTAAATACATTTACAAAAAAAAGTATTTCAAATAAATGCTTTTACTTTCTTACTGCTGATATTTTTAATTTTAAACTGTTTTCAACATTGATAATAATCAGAAATGTTTCTTGAGCAGCAAATCAGCATATTAGAGTGATTTCTGAAGGATCATGTGAGATTTAAAAAAATATTCATGTAGAAAACCATTATATTAAATTGTAATAATATTTCCGAATATTATTATTTTTTTATATTGCATTATAAAAATCATTTTAAAAATCTTACAAACCCCAGACTTTTGAATGGTTGTGTACTTGGTATCTCTTGATCTCTAGGTGCACTTCTCTATGTGAAACAGTCTCTGCATTTCTGAGGAATTTATTTAGCATTTTATAAATTCATTAATTGTATGTACTCTATCCAAATAAATCAATAAATTGTGTGTTTGTAGATTGGAATCAGAAATCTGTCTTTTGGAGACTGAAGAATCACAGATCTCAGCTAAAGAGCAAGTTCTCAGAGAGCGACTGCGGGAAACAGAGAGATCTATTGAAGATCTACAGAAGGTATGTGATCCTCATAACAGAAGAACACACGATACAGTGGCCTCAGACTGTGTATGGACAGCCACAGTTAAAAATGTCTGAATATCATTGCATTAGACAAAATATCAAAGCAAGTGGCATTTATTATAATAGAATAGTACATGCTTTAACTGATGAAATACAACTGTTAGTAATGGTGTGTTCAAGTCTTCCTGAGGCGTTTCATATTTATGAGTTGGAAAGTCGTATTTACAATGTCAGGTGTATTCAAATCCCTTCTTTCAATCAAGACGCTGATGTACCTTCTCTTTATTTACTTAATAAAAATACATAAAGGTTTTAAACTAAGAATGTCAAGTGTGCTTCTTATGTTTATTTTGTGCATGCAACCTATCTAGTTTTATTGTAAATGAAATAAAACATACATTTAAAAAAAAAATTACCATCAACTACACACTACTTCCATTGCATCCACCAAGACTCGAGTTTCCCACTCGCAATTATGACTTTGTAAATACAATCTTTAATGCATCTTCATACATCCCCGGAAAATCACCTTGACACCAGTTATTACCAAAAAGTCCAAATTACTTCTCATTTGTTCACAGTAGCCACTTCTAGAGTTTGATATTTTGTTATCTAACATTATGGCATGCAGACATTTTTAACTGTGACTTAAATGTGAAGTGTGTAATTTTTTTTCATTCAATAGCAGATTGGGAGTCATTCTGGAAACCTGTCTGAAAACAGTCAAAAAAAATTTGAAAAAAGTGCTTTGGTAAAAAGTAGTTGTGCAGAAATTACACACTTCAGCTTTAAATGTCTTAATAATATAACTCTAATGCAGCAATGTATTTGTTACATGAAAATGTAACAAAGCAAAAGAATTTACAACAACCTGATCTTTTCTAATCATGTTGCTTGTTTTTTAGGCAAGTTGGAGCTAAACTCTGCAGGACACCGGCCCTCCAGGACCGAGTTTGGACAGCCCTGACATAGACCTTTCAGACCAAGATCATGGTCATTTCTACAAACCACTGGATGTTACTTCCAAGGTACAAGCGCAATGGTAGACAGTCACTAAAACAGAGGGGTATTACATTAGCCTCTTGGACCATTTCCCTGTTGCCTCAGCTAGACTATTGAACTCCACACATACACCAATGGCTCTGTACTTTGTTTACCCTGATCCACCTATTCACAGGGAATCCCTGTAACCCAGAGCCGACCATTGTTTAGCTCTAATTCACTCGCGTTGCTTTTGCTGTCTAAGCAAATTAGCTGCCTCATGGAAAAAAAGGGCGAGAGGGAAAATCAGTTTAGTACGGGGGGATTGGAAGGGGAGGGAGTAAATTTGGTGGGCTTTTGAACACAGGAATCTAGTTTTAGTTTCTCTTCTGCTCTCCACCGGACAGATGCGGTGAATTACAACTGTTCCCAGATCCCGGACCTCCCAGAACTGAACTCCCAAACTCCCGTCTCAGCTTCAGGGGATCAACAACCGCCAAGAAAATCTGGTAGGTGCTTGTTGGGCTTGTGGGAGGGGCTGGGGTGGTCACAGGTTTGGGCCGAGGCCAAAAGGGGGTACGGTAATGTAGATTTACAGATGGCGCAGTTACTCACCGCAGCGCATTTGTGAGAATGAATGGACAACATGGTGTATTTCGCAATCTATACACAGTAGGGTAACTGGTCACCAACACCTCAAAGGTTTAAAGTGAATAAACGCTGAGGCCTTTGGACAGCTGTGGCACCTGCTTTTGTTGAGCTCAGCTTACAGTAGACCTGTGATGCGATGGAGATGAGTGAAAAAGTCCACCACCGTGAACATTTATTGCATGTCTAGTTCATGTCTCATTCTAGAAATTGTATGGAAATTAATAGAAAAATGTTGCAGATCGATACAAACAGCTATTAAAAATCAAGACATCAGAAAAAATATTTGTATCTGTTAGTGACCAGGTATACTTGTTTATCTATTCAAGTACTTTATTTCTTATATATAAAGGGTTTAGATCAGTGGTTCTCAAATGGTTTAATCTCACAAATTAGATTTTAAATTGGAAATCAAGTTGTGGAAATACAACAAATAGTTACCATACAAAATGTCCTTAAAATTAAGCATCAAACTTTATTCATATTAATCTGAACTGTGCTGGCCCATCAATAGGCAAATGTTATTAGCATGACAATGGCTAAACAGGAAAATGTACAATGTTGTAAATGCATTAACAACAGCAGAAATGTGATTTACCATCCATCACTGGGCCAATATAGTATGACCAAGTGAAAAACGTATTTGCACCAAAAGAAGCAAATATGTACATTTCAGCATGCTTTTAAAAGAGTACTTGTGAAAATAATATACTTTAAAAGAATATACTTAAGTGCAAACTGAATGTAATGTGTTCAACAATTAACTGCAGGCTAATTCAAAGAAAATGTATTATAGTTTAAATGTATATTAAATGCAGTTAGCTTACCATTAGTGTGCTGTTTTTGACCCACTTAGTAGGACTTAAGTTAATTTGTATATACAATTTCATAATTACTTCTATTATCTCTTGAAATATGGAAAGTGTACAGTTGAATGTACTGACAAACATTTGATGAGCAAAAAATTATTGAATGTAATTTCGATTGAAACTCGCATGTCATTTATTTAAATATATTTGTAATTAAACATTTGTAAAGATGAACTTGCAATTTAGTACATTTAACATATTAAGTTATATTTAAGTGCCTCTTATATTAAAGTATTTCATTAATATTATATTATCTGCAATTTTTTTTAAATATACTTTTAAGATTTGAAGAACACTACAAGTGCACATGCAAAACAATTAAACACACTTATTATTCAAAACAGTATTTTTTTAGCTGTCCTAACAAATTTTATGGTTAGTTGCATTTTCATTATTTGCATTTAGTATTCTTTTTTTAATTTTTTTCCTGCAACCAATTTTTAGGTTGCAAGCCTCCACTTTAGAACCAGAACTCTTGGTTCTAAATGACTTTAGAACTCATTTAGATTAATCAAATTAGCTGCCTCAGAAATAGCTCTCTCGAGTGTTTTTGTATTTTACCAAGCAGTTTTTCTTTCAACGGAAGCTTTTATTAATAACTCCAAAGATTGTAATCTGTCAAGCATAATATAAGAGTAACGGTGCATTTCCATAAAATCAAGAAAAATGCAAGAGTGTGTCTTCAACAAAGCATACATCAGCATAAAGCGGTTACTGGCAACAGCGTAATAACAGTGCAAAGGGTAGGTTGAATTTGTTTTTTGGCTCTGATTTTAATGCCAATTTATGCGACTGTACAAATATTGCATGCACGTAGTGCCATCACTGAAAAACCCATTAATAACAAGCATGCCACATTTCAGTTACGCATGATAGGCCACACTGAGTAGACATTAACCCACAATCATCTGCACTCTTCCCCAAGCATTATACGCCATGGAGATCAGTGTCGAAAAGGACCGGAAAACGGGTACCACCAAGATCCTCTCGGCCTCAGCAGTCAGCCCGCGGGATGCTCACCAGAGGGGCGTCAAAGTCTACGACGACGGCCGCAAAGTGATCTACGAGGTGCGTTCTGGGGGATCTACTACACTGGAGAACGGTACGCACCCCTGGAGTCCCGGCGAGGTGGACAAACTCATGCAGCAAGTCGGCAAGACCCAACAACGAAGTGACGGCGCCCGGGTCACTGTCACACCGGCTGAGCCCCAGCCAATGGGAGGACAGTTGAGCTCCAAGGAGGCCAAGCAAGATCAAAAACAATCTCCTAGGAAAGGCTACGAAGGCGAGGTCACGGAGACTCCTCAGGCCTCAGCCGACAAACCAGTGACCATGATCTTCATGGGCTACCACAGCGTCGAGGACGAGGAGGAATCCAAGAAGCTGCTTGGCTTTGATGGCACCATCAAGGCCGAGATCGTCCTCATCGACGAGGACGATGAGAAATCTCTCCGGGAGAAGACCGTCACTGATATCTCCACCATCGACGGCAACGCCGCAGACCTCGTGTCGGGCCGGCCTCAGTCCGACACCACCGAACTGTCTTCAGAAGGCAAAGATGAAAGCTCGACCAAGGAACTGCCACCCACAGGTATTGAAAAGAAAAAACGCTGCCAGTGCTGTGCTGTCATGTGACCTTTCTCCCGCAACTTCTCTTTCCTGGAGCACATTCACCAAGGCTCTGCCTTCCTTAAAAACCAATCTCACCCTGTTACTAACAGCACCTCCACCTCTGTGACGTGAGAGAAGTTCGCTCCTCACTCTTTCTGACCTATTATACACAGATTGTCTGGTTCTTTTGGTGTAAGGTTGTACGACTCGAACAGCATATTGAGGGAACATCTTTAGGAGAAGATGCTGACCGAGAGCAAAACATACACTCTTAAAAATAAAAGTACCTATGATTCCATGAAGAACCTTCAACATCCATGGAAACTTTCCATTGTACGAAAGGTTCTTTATAGTGAAAAAAGGTTCTTAGAATTATTAAAAACAGTTTTTTTAAGAACCCAAAATGGTTCTTCAATTGCATCACTGCAAAAAAAATCCCCTTTTGGAACCATAATTTTTAAGAGTGTCTGTGAAAAGGTTTGTACCCCATTAAAACATTTTATTATCCTTTTTTTAATTATCCTTTGAGATGGAATATAGATGAAAAAGCCCATAAATAATATGTAAATGTACAAAAAGTAAATATAAGACTTGTCCAATATAAGCTTAGATAATTGCATAGAACGTCATACAATGATGTAGCATAGATTTGACAAAGATATTGTCCATAAATGTCTATCCCATTTGATGTATCACACAGTATGGAAACACAAAGTAGATCCATACAGCGTAAGGATGTTTGATCATTATTATGTTGTGCAGTAGCCTTACAAAGCCTTCAAATTACCATACGCGTTGGTTGTCCAAGATATTTTTGTTTACCGATCCAGATTTATTTTTCCCAACAAAAATGGAGACAATATGCTTACTTCATTACGCAAACTGATCTTATTGAAAGACATTTGCCCTTCTGTGCCTCTGTATCCTCGTATATAATAGGATTTTTACCATTTTTCATGTTCTAAGCTGCAAAAAGACTTTTTGACTGCTATCAGATCAGCTGAATCTTTCAAAGAGCTGCTAAAACCACAAAACAATACCAAGCAGATTCAGCTCAGTACTGCCATGTGTGCAAATACAGATCTGAGAGAATGAAAAGCCCTGGTGTGACTCTAGATTGCATGCACTATGGAGGTAAACAAGGTGCTAAATATATTTGGATCTATTTGCTATTTTTCTGAAAATGCAATGCACAATTCTCTACCATTTGTACAAATATTGTACCAGCAAACCAACCTTTAATTAAAATTATTAATTGACACTCAAATTCAAAGCATGCATCGTCTTAGGCTTTACTTAAATGTTAAATAACAAGTATTTTTGTGAGAGAAAAATATTAAGAATGAGATCTGTGTTCAAAGAAACATTACTATTGTACATGAATAGCTCACTACTGCTTATTATTTATAATCAAATATGAAGTCACAGAGATTACGGCTGCATATATATAATATGCCTGTAGATAAAGAATGTACATATATTACACTCAAAATGAGTGTTTAATCCACATTTATTTCTATAGTGGTTGAAATCTGAAAGTGTTTTAATATATGCTCATCGTTAGCATATTCACACTTAAATACCATACCAATAAAGACTTCTCCATGTGGTCACAAAGGACATATCTTAGTTATTTCTAAGTAAATTATTCTTCTTTCACTAATAACGGCTACCTTGCTGTTTCTGTATTCACTTTTCTAAGTCTTGCCACATTACAGAAGAACTTGTTTTAGTGCCATAATACATAATTTTTTTGTACAAATGATGCTCAGATGGGGAAATTAAAAGCCAGTTTACCTTATATTTACAATGAACAAAAATATGAATTATGAAATTGTTAAAAAAAACAAAAAAACATTTTACTTAAGTACATTTTACCCAATCTTAATTGAAGATAAATGTAGAAAAAATATTTCAATTTTTTATTTTTTATTTTTTTTTTTACAATAAAAATGTAGTTAAAACAGTAATAGTCAAAATAAATAAAGTTAAATATGGCCAATGGCATTCATTATGCTTTGACGCGCTATAGCGAACCTTTTTGTTTCTTCTTCATAAGAGTGTGCTCTTGTAACTACAAATCACCTACAGGTGATGTCATGTATGAAGGTCGTACCTGAAATGATTCTGTAATCAGTGCCAAAACAAATTCACCTTTTCAGGCTTAAAAAAATGCACTTTTGTGCGCTCAAAATATGATCTTTCGCGTGCAGAATTGTGGCAGAAATGTAAACCCATATGTAATGGTTTGAGGAGTACAGTCTCCTTTCATGAGTTGACATATTTCCTACTGAAACAGGAAGTTGGGCAGGAAGTTAGCTAACATCACAGCCCACCAAAACCAAAGAGTTGGATCTGGCTGGTTCGTTTTGGCAATTAAATGCTGTAACTGCACCATCAACCCAATCTCATGAGGAAATGTAACTATTTGGTGATTTCGTATACATTTTGTACATTTTGATTCATACGAAAATCTACGAGCATTAGGAGAAAACAGATCGTACCAAAACATACAAATAAGATATGAGTACAAGTACGTAATCATATAATTCCGATCGATTTGCCACCAATTCATCAAAATGTGAAATAGAAGTGAATTCTAATGAGATTGTGTTGAATTTCCTGCAGATTATTTATTAGTCACTTAGCATTTATAAATATTCATGTCAGAACCGAATTCCAATGAGCAAAGATGGCAGCCTGCAGGTCGCATGCTTCTGAACATGCGTCAACCTAGTAACTACCATTGATGTGAATGGCTAACAGAGAGCTCAAGTATATTCATTAATTTGCTACATGCTATTGCAGGTGGTATTTTGGCGGAGGTATACTCTCATTAATGATTATCTTACTGGACAAAAACTTGTATACGCTCATGTGAACAAGACAAGTCATCAGTATTTTTCCACAGCACATTTTAAATGCATGTATCTGTTAAATGTTCGTTTTTTTAACCTTTAGTAGTACACTAGATGGCCTTGCAGCTAACAGACATGGATTTTTTTTATTTTTTTTATTCATGGGGTCTTTAAGGTTGAACATTTCATGTTTGAATCTGTTTACACAATGTAGGAATACCAGCTCCATCAAACATTTTTGCTCCCAGAATAAGGCTAGTGTCAGTGTTGTCTATCAGGATCTTTCAGCCTCAAACTGCCAAACAGCTCTAATTCAGTTTTCAGCTCCCATATGAGCTCTGATCTGCCATGAAATTACTGTTGTGCTTCTTCATTGAGATTCTGCTGTATTTTTGTAATCCTGAAGTGTAAAGCTTACCTTTTTTAATGATTATAACATTCTCTTTCTGTATCATATCATTCTTTTTCTCTCTCACACACTCTCTCCAGTACGGACTGCCAGCAGCACTGCTGTAACATTGGCTTTCAGTTATTTATTTTTTCCTTTGTATGGTATACTTAGTCCAATAAACAGCATTTTTTCCAACGTGCCTACCCTCCTGTGTCTGTGCTATGGTTCTTTCTCTAACTAATTTCTCATCATTGGGACATTACTAGCACTTTCCCTCTCTGTAATCTCATCCCTCACTCATTTCTGGGCAGCACTAACTCCAGTAGCTCGTCTCTCCAGCCGTGAATGAGATATGCTGATGTGTCTGCCCCGCTTCACAGATTGCATGTACAGCAAGTTTAACCCTCACCAAATCTGTGCCCTCGCTCACAGTTAAAGGCTGACATCCACTGAGGAGATCTGAATATGCTACAGGTTTGTGAGAGTCGTCATGTTGGTAGGTTTAGAAACCACGGAGAAAGCTGAAGTAGGTGTCATAGTCCAAAGGAGAATATTTGTCTTGGTTTCCAGTAAAAATATCTAGACATTGTTAAAACAAGATAAATTTACCTGCTAAAAAACTATTTACAGTATACACTAACATTTGGAAGTTTGGGGTCGCTGAGATTTATTTTTTATTTTTTATTTTTTTTTAATGTTTAAAGTATTTTTCTCACCAAGGCACAATATTACAAAAATAAAAACAGTAATATTCAGAAATATTATTACAATTTCAAATAACTGTTTATGTGAATATATTCTAAAATGTAATTTATTTCAGTGATGTAAAGCTGTATTTTCAGCATCATTACTCCAGTCTTCAGTGTCACATGATCCTTCAGAAATCATTCTAATATGCTGATTTGCTGCTCAAGAAACATTTCTGATTATTATCAATGTTGAAGACAGTTGTGCTGCTTCATATTTTTGTGGAAACCGTGACATTTTTTTTTTTTTTCAGGATTCTTTTGATGAATAGAAAGTTCAAAAGAACAGCATTTGTTTGAAATAGAATTTTTTGTAACAATGTTAAAGTCTTCATTGTAACTTTTGATCAATTTAACACATCCTTGCTTAATAAATGTATTAATTTCACTAAAAAAATCAAATGAAATCAAACTGACCCCAACCTTTTGCACAACAATGTATGTAATTAAATACAGATATTAAATAGGCTTATATTCTCTAAAACAAGCTGTAATGGCTTATACAGTCTTGCTCATCAGGTAAAATATTCTTGTTTCAAGGATGTTTACATGTTTTTACTGGAAATCTGACTAGATTCTGACATTAGCATTTAGCTAAACTAATGACTTGATACTGTAATAGGCACCAAAATGCATATTGCATTGAATCTAAAGAGCAGGGTGGTTAATGTCATGTCAATATAAAAGACGATTTAATGACTGCATAATAATGACTTAATGTGTTATTAGTCCACGAATAAAAACAGCACAGCTGCATTGGGTTCTTATCATCCGCTCCACATTTACATAAACCATTGCAGTGACAAATAGCTTATTTACAAGATTCTTCTTCTTAAAAAAGAAAAAAAAAACAGAATGGAAGCAGTTGTCTCGAAGCAGACTTATACTATGAAACACAGAGGTGTAAAGACATGAAAAATATGAGATATGTGCTTTGAAAATATAGTTTACATACTCCTTGCAAGTGGCAAAGCTGGATCTTGAAATGGAGCCACTGTGGGAAATAACTCACACGTGCAGAGCATGCAAGCAAGTCAAAGAGTTTACAGGACCTGCAGGACTCTCGTCAAAAACAGAGAGCAGTTTTACTGCTCAAAACCAACCTGGGACTTATACAGCAAAGAAACAAATAAAGGAAAGGAAAGGAAACAGGGCAAAATATGTTTATCATGTTCATATTATTAAAAAATATATGATGCACATATCCTGCACATTCTTCAATGAGTGCACTGTAAAAAAGTGGTAAACTGCAATTGTTACCTTAAAGAGCTATTTTAAATTACATTTTTATAATCATATTATTATTTTGTTATTATTTATTTATTTAATTAAATTTTATTAAAATTAAGTGTTTCTTAAAACCAGTGTTTAGATGTTACTTTTATTCAATGCAATAAACATATCAAGCAGAATTGCATGTAATACACAGGAAACACTATTATTGAAAATATAGTTTACATACTCCTTGCAAGTGGCAAAGCTGGATCTTGAAATGGAGCCACTGTGGGAAATAACTCACACGTGCAGAGCATGCAAGCAAGTCAAAGAGTTTACAGGACCTGCAGGACTCTCGTCAAAAACAGAGAGCAGCTTTACTGCTCAAGACAAACCTGGGACTTATACAGCAAAGAAACAGATAAAGGAAAGGAAAGGAAACAGGGCAAAATATGTTTATCATGTTCATATTATTTAAAAATATATGATGCACATATCCTGCACATTCTTCAGTGAGTGCACTGTAAAAAAGTGGTAAGCTGCAACTGTTACCTTAAAGAGCTATTTTAAATTAAATATTTATAATCATATTATTATTTTGTTATTATTTACTTATTTTATTTTATTTTATTTTTTGTGTGTTTAGATGTTACTTTTATTCAATGCAATAAACATTTAAAGCAGAATTGCATGTAATAAACAGGAAACACTATTAAACTTACCAACTGCAGAGAATAATATCAACAGTGTTATGGACCGATCTGCCTGTACTAAACCCTCTGTCCTGATTACAAACAGGCTTTGAGAGAATGTACTAGAACACACATTGAGAACGTGCTGACTAGATCTAGCAAACACCATTCAGGGCTATTTATTAAAGCTCTTCTATTAGAGAGTCTGTTTTGATTCTCACATACAGCATTAAAGGGATAGTTCACCAAAAAAATGGAAATTCTGTCAACATTTATTCACCCTCATGTCGTAAGACTTTAGTCTATCTAAACAAGCCTAAATTAAATCTAATCATCAAATAAAGCGACTGTTTTTCTTCATAAGACTTGAATAAAACCACATGATTAATATGGATTTGCTTTAGGATGCCTTTATGACCTATTTTGTTCTTCTAAGTTTTGGTTATCTGGACTTTCAGGTTTCATTAAAAATATTTAAATTTGTGTTCCGGAGATCCTTAAGACTCCTTAAAATTAAGATTAGTCACATGGGTAAGTAAATGATGACTGAATTTTCATTTTTGGATAAACTATCCCTTTAGGAATCAAGTACATGACCGATAAAGGCAGGTATTTAATATGTAAATAGCAAACATGGTGTGTGTGCGTGTGCGTGCGTGCGTGCTTGTGTGTGTGCGTGTGTGTGTGTGTGTGTG